TCAATTCGTAGCATGATTTTATTAATAGCATGATTCCATAAAATGTAATTTTTTTTTGATGAAAAATAACGAATCTACTTTTTGAATTAATTCAAATCCCTATCAATTTATGAATAAAAAGATTTTAATTATATTTGTATACTATGAAAACACAAATATTTAACAGAGAAATTATAATATATTCTATAATTCTTTCGTTCTTTCGTTCATTTAATTTTCAACAATTTCGAATTTTTTTTTAGTTAATTTATATATAAATTATTAATTACATCTCGTCCTATAGGAATCATATTGTCGATCTTAAAAAAACGTGACAATCATTCTATAAAGGAAATTTCTTTATCGATCTTCAAAGAATGTTATATTTAAGTCACATGGGCTATAAAGTATAAAAAGTAGAGGAACCATTGCGCACCCCGGGCCGGACATCATGATACTCATCCTAACGCGGTGATGGGCCTTAATCATCACCAAGGTTGCATGTCGCTTCTTTCAGACAGGGGAGTGGCCATAGCACTTGCCCAAGGTACCCTCCCACAGCCTTACTTGCTCTTCTCCACCCGTTTATCGCTAGATATTTATTATTTCTCAATCTGTCCTTAGGGTACCCTCATTTAATCAACCGATGTTAGAAGCGTCCTAATAACAAACGGGATGTTATTATAATATATCAGCCTAAGCTTATATACCACTATAATTTCAACTTCCAAAAAATTGTGGGATTATGATCGACATTTTTAGCCAATAAAAATTCAAGATCAGATCATGTGATTATAGGTCATGTGATTTTGGTCCATTTCGTTTTCTAAAATTACACCACCATTTTTCTTTTTCGCTTATTTATCGCTTCGCTTAAAATTTTTAACAACTTTCTTTCAAATTAAAAATTTTTCACCCTCATTTTGTCATACGTAGTTAGTACTTCTGACATGTCATTATGAATGGTATTTAGTTATGAAAAAAAAAAGTTTCAAGTAATGAACATTTTTGTTAGTGATTATGAACTATCGTGTCTTAAAACTTGATATGAGAATATTATTTTATGGAAAATTAAAAGTCGAACAACTTACACAACAACTTGGCTATAGTTGTTTTTAAGTACAGTCGCCTCGGAAAGTGACGCCCGATTTGAAAATGAATACAAAAACAAAAATATTTGTATTTTTTCACTAGTATATACATTAATAAAAAATTTACTCATACTACATCAAATTTTCACAATGCCAGGGTGGCAGCCTTCTCAAAATCAGAACTATTTAAATTTTCATTTTTCCTACAGTATAACTTTACGTTCGCCTACGGCTCTAAGGAGGAGTTCACACTTCTAGGTAATATATAGGTTCGTTTCTATTTGTTATCTACTTGGTTTAAATCAAATAAATTTGTTGGCAAATCAGTAGTTGCAATTTTATTTAATTTTAGCTATTTTTGGCTTAAGATGAAGGCTATAATTATCTTGCCACTTGTGGTTATCTTGGCATCCAGTGATCCGAATTGACGAATAAAGTCTCACTGGATTCGTTTCATCAGAACGAGTTGAATGGTGGCCGGCTCATGTCTCTAGAATCAATATATGCCAAGATATACATTAAAACATATTTTGGACGGTTTGGACATTGTCTCGTGATATTTAAATGCTACATATATTACATGGTCACCATTCGATGCGTATCGAATCCAATGAGCCTTTGATTATCAAAATCGGATTCCTCGATAGCGAGATATTCCCGAATTTGTGAGATTCAGAATTTCGAAAAATTTTCAGGTAAAGAATGTTTTAAGGCATATCTCAAAATCTATTGATCCTAAAGGCATGAATCAACTAACATTGACTTATCTTTATGAGACGAATCAAACGACCCTTTATTCGTCAAATTCGGATTATTGAATGATAATCATAGTGGCCAAATAATTATTACCTCCATCTGTAAATAATCGGGCAACACTTTCCGACGCGACTGTACATGACCAAAATTATGGGCGAATAACTCGTGAATGACGTTCAATTCGTTCAATTGAAGGTAAAGTGTATCCATTATTATACTATTGATTAATTTATTTTCATTTAAATTAGGACGTAAGTACCAATCAAATAATTAACTTTGTACGTATTTTACATTAAATTTACTCGTAGAATTATTCCGAAAAAGCTGCATCACACCATTCCATTTGTGTTAAAGGTATCAAAGGTTAGAAGACCTGATTTCATTCATGGTAAACTTAAGCGTTAATACCAGTCCAACCACATCGGATCGTTTTGCCATTGCTAAAAAAACAGTTCCTAATATTACTTTTTGATGATATAAAGGCGCCGAGGTTCTATAAGACTGACAATTTATATCAGATCATTATTTTTGACCACCGTCTTCAACATCAACATAATAAATACAAATAATCTATGAACGATCATTCCAAGCAAAATCAGAAGTGGTATAAATTTTTTTTTATTTTATTTTTTTTTGTGAAAATTAGTATTAATTTATTTTTAACTTTGATGTTTCTGGTTATTTGATTTAGGATTATTTTTTTTTTTTAATTCTGATCACAATACTTTCGTTACAAAAATGGCCCACGAACTTGACTCGTTCAACATTTTAGAATTTACTTCATTACCACCGACTTTTTGACTTTACACAATAATTTAATCCACTTGTACTATTTAAGAATTTATTATAATCTATTCATTTATTCTATATTTACTTTTCTCTAGGTAAATAATTTGTCTATACTTTTGATGTTTTTAGTTATCGTGTTGTTTTTTGTTGTGTCAAGTCTTTTATTAATCATTTATTTTTAGATGGTACAGGATATGCCATGCGAAATCAATTTCTGATTTCTACACCACAAATTATTCCCACTTCACCCATCACTAGAACTTTTCACCTCCAGTGCTACATTAACATCGACATAATCATCACATTGTTCACCAGATGTTGGCAGGTATACTGACGTCTACATATGTCATTGATCTTGTCATCTCAATCTTCACGGATGAGTCGTTGAAACAACTAATAATTTTAAAGTTGGAATGCTTCAAATGCCATCATGGTGGAAAATGCTATCTAAGAAAAAAAAGATGATAAACTTCATAGGTTATGGAGATATAAGGTGTCTCGTCACGGATTGCTTTAATGATGAAAATCTCATTATTATTTAATTAACTCCATCCAGCCCAACAAGCATAACTAGTAAAAAAAATATTTTTTTTGGTCTATTATTATCAAATTGTAACATTTTTTTCAATGAAATAAAAGAAGATGAAACGCGATACCGCATGACAGACATAGGTTAGAAATTTATCAAAATTCTATTTCGTTTTCAAATTCAAAGAGGTAATACGCCCTATTAAGTATATAATATTGATTGTTTAGGAATACAATAAAAACATCAATTCACTCGTCTTGTAGCCAAACAATAGGTAAGGTGTTTTTTTTTCCTTTCTTATTTTTTCCGTTATTATTATTCTCAAAATAAAAAGTAATTTTATTATAAACAATGCTATTGACAGCGATGGTGATGAATATTCCTTGAGCCTCCCTATTTTAATTATAACCGCGCTTATTGCAACAATTAATAAATAATAGAATCGTTTAATTCGTTTTGGTAGGATCGATTCCAATCCATAAGGCTATGACATAATTATTTATTTGAGAAATGGAAAAACAATATATTAATATTCATCAACTTTTAATTTACCATATATTAAATTTATTCGGCTAGCACGCAAACTAGGCAGAGACAAATTAAATGATTAAGAAGTTAAAATTTTATAAACCGTAATAATGTAATGCATTTTTTTAACTTTTTTTTTTAATACTGCATTCATTTAATGTATACCCAATGATCCTTTGCATATACTGACGCAGGATAATAGGTATATAAAATATAATTTTTTTCACCACAATACAAGCCAAGACGAATTTATGTTAATGTACAGTATATCATAATAATGACGCATCACACATGCATGTTTGTAGTTATAGAAGAGATTCGTACGACTGTCGAAGTAAAATTTTTAAAACCAATTATGATAAATATAGAAAAAACGTGTGAAATAATTTTCAACTTACTCATAAATTTTTAAAAACGCTACACTAAGAATTAAAACCCTAAAACTGATATCAAAATTTCGGATAATTTGTATGTTGTTCAGGATCGTTAATTAATATATTTTATTTGTCTAATGGCTAAAACATTTTAAATAAGAAGATCGGTCCAATCATTCATCAGGTGTGAAGTAATTAATTACATTACACTTCCAGACCTACAGTTCTTGCGAAATTTTTTCCTACACATTTTACTAGAAGCTACATCAACCCAAAGTGTAACATAACAGCACACGAATATCCATATCAAACGGAGGACGTATTGGCTAGGCTGGGAGAAATAATTGGCCATAGGACAATTAGATCTGGAAAAAAAAATAGAATAAAAAATTTTGTAAACAATATCAATACAATATAAAGAATCATTAATCGAAATTTTGGAAGTCAAAACAAAGTTGAATGAATCGAATGTAATAATAATTTCACGATTACCAGATTACCAATAAATTATTGCATATTATGGTCATTGTCCTAATAGTATATTAGTTAGATTTTTGCAGATCGATTTGGTCAGGGACCCGAAAAATATCGATTTGCAAATGATCATCACTCCGAGCAATGTTGCACAGAATACAAAGAATACGCCAAATGTCAAAAAAGGGGAATAACAAACATTAAAAAAAAAAATTTTTTTTTGTTTTAAAAAAAAGAAAAATTAAAAAAATGAATTGTCAACTTCCTGAAGACTGTTTAAATGATATTTTTGAATTCTTAAAAGAAGATAAATTTTCTTTACGTTCATCCTTACTAGTTAATCACCTTTGGTGTGGAGTTGCAGTTAGGATTTTATGGAGGAATGTTTGGAAGGAACAATTTCGATCATTATCAATACTTGGTACCTTGATTTCTTGCCTACCTAATGAATCTAAAGATCTTTTATTTGAGAATAAAATTATGATTCCAACACCAACTTCGAAACCACCTTTGATAAATTATATATCTTATATCAAAGTTCTTTCAATTCACTCATTCGATCTCATCATTGAGAGTGTGTTAAAAAATCAAAGTTTTAACGGCGATTTGCATACTTTAAAATATAATAAATTTCTGATATCACAAGAGTTATTAAAAGCATTCATGTGTCAAATTCCATCATTAAAAACTCTGGATAATCATACGACATCGGCATCAAATATACAATTTACTCTCTTCCCTGGGGCGAAGTATTGTTTAACAAACCTAACAGTATTTAGTTGTAATTCAGATATTTATCCGGAATTTTTTTATCAACTAGCTTCAATATGTCATAAGATACGATCAATAACCATAAATTTTAAAAACGATATTTCAGGTGGATTAAAAGAATTGATTTTATTTCAAAATAATTTGAAATATTTGAAATTAACTGCTGGTAAATGTGGAGAGAAAGTTTGGGCGGATATCATACCAGCGATAACCAAGCATCATGATACCTTAACAAGGTTACATATAGATATGTTTCGGGTAGATATGCCATTATCAATCATTACCGTATTCACAAATTTACGAGAATTGATCATGTCTTGCTTTGGAACTAGTCATTTCAAGGTTTCAAATGAATTACAACGTGCGATTTATCCAAACTTACGAATTTTAAGAATTCCTTTTCAATGTCCAAGTTCCGACATTTTAACGAAACTTTTAGAGAATAATGGAAAGAACCTTTATAAATTAGATTTAGGTGGGATTGACAATTCATTAAAATTAAACATAGCTCAACTTTGTCCAAATCTTAAAAAGCTTTACATGATGTTTGAAAATGATGAAATGGATATCTTTAAAGGTATACTTTGTAATTGTCAACATTTAGAAGGTATTAAAGTTTGGTGTGGTTGTCCATATCTAGATGAAATGGAAATGTTGGAGACTGTCGTAAAATATTCACCAAAATGTTTTCATGAATTAAGGATATATAGTAGAACTTTTCCCGAATATTTAGAATCTTTCTTTTCAGGTTGGGAAAATCGAACACCTCCAATACCTTTAAGTTTGATTATTAATATTGGTAGTTTGGCAGAAAGTGAGGAGAAGATTGATATTTGCATGAAAACAACAATTGCAAAGTACAAAAATTTAGGAATTATTAAGAAATTTGAAACTGAAGAATTTGAATATGAAGATTATATATAAGAGTTACTTTTGGTTAGGATAATTATGATTCTTTCCTAGATTTAATCATTTTTCTTTTTTACAAATATATATGAATAAAAAATTATAATCAAATCGAAATTCTTTTATTCTCTTAGGAAATAATTTTCTAAAGAAAATTTTTGTTAATTTACTTTATAGTTCGGATATTTATATGATACAATAATCATTTCTACTTCTCCATGATAAATTTAATATCAAAAATATGTCAACAATATTATTATTGCAAATGTTTTGCTGAAACTTGATTTCTATTCATAATTTTGTAATGATGTAGTTTAATTTTTTTATATAAATATTAAAAATATTTTAGATATTATATGAAATGGGATGAAATTCTATCATCATGGTTTAGCTAAAAATTTTATTTGTTTTGAAATCTAAATTATTTGTAACATAATTAAAGAAATGATTTTATATTACTTAATTTATCCCATTATTATGCAAATAAATTATGCCTACTTGGCAATCAAATAATCTGTATTTATTTATGCATTACTAGTATAATAATGGATTACTTTTGCAATATTAATAATAATTTTACTATATTTGGGGGTAGGGATAGTAACAGTCAGTCATGATCAGTTAACGGTTGGTTAACGGTCGGTCAGAGGCCTTTGACTGACTGATTTTGACTTACTAATTCAAAATGAGATTTAGCATTTATGTAATGAAAATTTATGAAATATTTCTTTCTCTACTTTCTTACCATATGAGAAATATTGCATAATCAATAGGATTGTGAGACTGGTTTGTATCAAAGTAATTAGGTGATACTAATATTACTATAGAAACTAACTAACTTTGGGAATCACTTCTCATTTTTATAATTAAATTTGCCATTAAAAAAGTTAAAAAACACTAATTAATCTGATTCTGAAAAAAAGCCGATTAATTAAGCTGGCATTTTGAAATCAAAATGTTAATAAACTAGATTCCTATATATATATACTGATAGAAAGTCTTTTTTCCTTATCAATTTTAAAATTATGATAACTGGTAAAATTGGAGATTTACTCATATAGCAAAATATCCTAATTAATTATTACCAAAGTAATAATTAAACTGAAGAATTCAAATGTTTATTCATCACTCTTTTATAATGAATACATCATTTACTATCTTTATAATTATTTTTAAAATTAAAAATGATTAATGATATATTAAATATACATTTTAAAGAAAATTTAACTAGTATGTAAAACAAATTGATGTATCTTGGTAATAATTTCAAGAACAATAAATCAGAATTTTTTGAAAAACAGATTTAGATTATTTTTTTTAATATCTTAAGTAATGAATCTCATTAACTTAAAACATAAAGAAATTTACATATTAAAGAATTGGAATTGTGTCAGTTAACCTGAAAGAGTTAGGCTTTAAAGGTATTTTAAGTCATACAGATGAATATTAAAATCTGCAATAGAGCTTTTAAAATTAGTTTTATTAAATAACAAAAGTGAAACTATTACAATATTACAAATTTCCAACAAAGAAAATCTGACTTATTGTAATAAAACTTCAAATACGAATAACTTAAGAATCACTAATCCAATCATTATAAAATTTGAATGGTTAGATTCACAGGTTTTGGACTTTCAGAAAACCAAAGTTTAAGAATATTGGATTAGTATATGTGGAGTTATTTAGAAATTGTTAAGGTAATTATTTTTAACAAGCAGTAAGGCAAAAAGAAGGGTTTTGGGACAAAAATCCAAAGATATCCAGAAAGGTTCCTATCTGCCTACGAATCCATTTTAGCTATAGGAATCAAATTATCAAATTCAAGCCTCTAGCGTAATTTAACTCAAATATAGATGATGATATCAACTTGGCTAGAAATTAACCTTAAAATATTAAGAATTATACTGTTTGATATAGCTATTCTAGACTGATTTTAATCTCAAATAATATATCAAAAAAATTTTACTATTCTGTTTGTCTCAGAAGGGACCATTGAAAATCAAGGAACAAAGTGACGCGATTTGAGCTAGGTCTGACATTGCAAACCCAATTTGAATAATAACTTTTATGCTATTAATATGCATCTTTTATTACATGCAAAAACTTATGGTACTCTTATAAATACTCAATGTGGTATTAAAGAAATGG